ATTGACGCCAACAACTTATATGGATGGGCTATGACTCATAGCCTATGAGTCAACCCCTTCCATTTTCTAATTTTAAATTTCTAAGTAACGATGAAATTTCATCTCTCATCGTTCTTAGCATATTAGCATCTAGTGATGTTGGATATATTTTTGAAGTAGATTGCGATATCCTGATGATATTCATAATAAGCATAATAGTTTACCTTTTTGCCCCGAAAATACGATTCCACCAGGAGGAAAGCAGACATAACTAATAGCTGACTTAACTGATATAAAGAACTATATAATCCATTTGAAGCAGCTACAGTTATGTTTAGAGCAGGGTATGATTTTAGAAAAAATATCTCGATTTTTATCATTTAATCAGTCCTGTTGGCTGAAACCTTATATTGAGCTCAATACATCTCTTAGAAAATTAGCTAGCAATGACTTTGAAATAAACTTTTAAAAATTAATGGTTAATGCCGTTCACGGCAAAACAATGAGGAATGTAGAAAAACGTCGTGAGGTTGCATTAGTTAAACATTATGATTCAAGACAAAACTCTGCAGGGTTTAGACAACGCATAGCAAGACATAATTTCCACAGTGTTGAAATCTTTGGAGATAATTTGGCTGCCATTGAATCAACTAAGTCCAGAATTTTTTATGATAAGGCCATATACATTGAAGTTAGTGTATTAGAGCTTTCAAAATTGTTAATGTATGACTATGTCTATAATTTTCCTTCTGTAAAATGTCCATCATCAAAAATACTCTATATGGATACAGATTCATTTATTATATCATCAGAAGAAGATTTTTATGATTTAATTAAAGACAATCCTAATCGCTTTGATACATCCAATTACCTAGCCTCAATCAGATTCGGTATAAATCTCGCCAATAACAAAGAGCTTGGATTAATGAAAGACGAAAATGTAGGGAAAATAATGACGTCGTTTGACGGAAGGTTAAAGGCGTAAAAAAGTCAGTAGTGAAACGATTAACTCATACTCAATATATTGAATGAATTGGACATAAAAAAAACCTATTATGGACAACAGAGAGTTATTAGAATTATTGGTCATAAAATTTATACTGAAATTGTAAATAAGATAAGTCTAAATTATAAGGATGACAAACGATCATAATCACTATGAAATTAAAAATATTTTAGATGCTAGTAATAATACACAAAATATGGTATAAGTATAGTTCGTTCTCTTTCGTAGTGACCAGACGCGTTTTTGTTTTGCGCTCCGCATTGTTTCCTTTTGTTTTGAATAAACAGCCGGTGTTTTCCTAAATAAACTTTAATTAACTTCCTAGCCAGCCAACAATCTGGAAACCTATTCTATTCCGCGAGTGCATGCCTTTTGATTTGTGTTAAAACATTATTTAACTTTTTATTTTTCGGCGTCGGCTTGTCGTGTTTGTGTTGTTGTGTTGCATTACAGTCCGCTCTCGTCTTGTAGCTTTTGTTGTTTTATCACTCTCTCGCTATCACCTTAACTTCAATAACTGTTCTTTCTCTTTCGCTCTTTAATCTTTCTGAGCAATAGCGCTCTCTGCTTAGTAGCTCTCGCTATAACCGCTCTCCACTCTGCTCTCTTTTTTTACCAATTCCGCTTTGAGCGTTGTCTGGCACATTGGACTGCTACCAATTTGTTTTGCAAATAATAGTAAATAAATAAATAATAAAATGTAATACGCTGTGGTCTGTGCCAAAAAAACCTGTAAGAAGCGGATTACTCACGATCAGCCGAATGTCCCCTGCTGGCTCTGCGACAGCGTAGAGCACGCAAAATGCGCTGGATTTTCTGGCCTCGTGAGTGATGCTATAACCAAACGTTATGGCTTGCATTACAGTTGCGAGGCATGCCGTGCGGTGGAGAAGGAAATGGTATCTTTCATGAGGCAGACGCGGATTGGCGTTAAGGAGCTGACCGTTGGTTTTAAAAACCAATACGATCGGCTCCTAGCCATGGAGGCTCAGTTTAGCGGTTTAAAACTGCTGAATGAGTCTCCGAGGCGCAAAAAGGTCACTCCGCGGGATCTGCAAGTGCCAATAGTCGCTCAGCCGCTCATTGCCGAAAATCGGACTCCGACCACTCAAAGTGTACAGCAGCTGATTTTGTTTGCCACCCCAAGGGCAACGACAGCTGCTGGCGATGCAGATTCGGTTGCCGAATTCATCGCCTCGGAGAATGTGCAGCCAAGTACGTCTGCAGCGTCCGTGTCCGTGGTGTCCGCAAGTTCGCTGGTTGTCCCGTCTATCCCGATCCCACCAGTAAATAGACGTTCCGGACCTCCGGATATTGCCACCAAAGGTACTAGGCCTGTGGTGACTAAACCACTGGTGGGAGTCCCACCAAAACGACAAGTTTTTGTTTCACGGCTGGCCCCTGTCCTCATCTAATGATGTAATTGCTTTTATTCAAAGCAAAATAAAAGCCGTGGGTTTAAAGGTGGAGAAATTTAACTTCTCTTATGCCAGGCAGATAGCCTCGTTTAAGATAATCATCTTTCCAACTCAATTTGACACCATTTGCTCCGCCAAATTTTGGCCGGAGCATTTGGTGGTGAAGGAGTTTAAGGCTAAGAAGAAGAATAGGCCCCCCATATCCCTTCCAAATCTTTCCAGTGTGCCACCCTCAACCTCAACCTCAACTTCCTCTTCTTCAACTTCCCGTCTTGCTTCCACCTTTCCAAAAAACTAACTTTTCTTTTAGTAACCTATCAGATTGTGAGAGGCTTGCGTAGTAAGCTCAGCATTCTTTTCCGGGATAGTGTTGCATTTGCTTCCCACGTTATTGTGTTTACTGAAACCTGGTTAAAGCCGGACATTCTTAGTTCCGAGGTTTTGGCAGGTCGGTACACAACTTTTAGGAAAGACCGTTCGTCTCGAAGTGCAGGAGGGGTTCTGATTGCAGTGAACTCTAATTTCGCGTCGGGACGTTTCACAGTCCAAGTCCAATGGGAACTGGAATTCCTGTGTGTAAAACTGATTCTTCCCGCTTTCGCTATATTCATTACTTGCTCATATATTCCACCTTATTCGGAAGATCATATGATAGTTCTTGGTGACTTCAACTTGCCAAGAACTGTTTGGTCTTCGGTAAACGAGTCTAGTATCCTAGTGCCCATGTCACGACATGACTTTGTTGACGGCTTGCTTGACCTGTCCCTGTCTCAAGTCAATCATGTGAAAAATTCCTTGGGTCGATTGCTTGATCTATGCTTTGTATCGGATCCGACCATAGTGTTGTTAACCCGAGCCCTTCCGCTCACTATACCTGAAGACGCCTACCACCCTACTTTCGAGGTGTCGCTAGATATAGGACCAACTGTATTGGATCGGTCGAGTAGACTACCTGAACGTGTCCGCTGCTTTCGTAAAGCCGAGTTTGCGAAGCTTAATAACCTCATTAGGGATTTTGATTGGTCCGCTTTGTACTTGTGCACTGATGTCACAAAAGGCACAAACATTTTTTACAATCCTCTTGGCACATTTTTTGATTCTTGTGTCCCGCTTTCTTGTCCGATTAGATCTGGAAAACCCCACTTGGTTTACCAAAGAGTTATCCAGTCTAAAAAACTTAAAATCAAGACTTTATAAAAAATTTCAAGAAGTGGGCTCTCCTACTTCTCACTCTCGTTATGTAATAGCTCGGTCAAACTTTTCAGTTCTTAATGCTCAATGCTATAAGAACTACCTATCTCGTTGCAGGATACGTTTTTCTCAGGACCCTAAACAGTTTTACTGCTTCGTAAACAGTAAGCGTAGAACGTCCGCACACCCATCCTCGCTATCATTTTGTAATACGTCGGCAAATAATGATCAGGTAATTGCCGATCTTTTTGCCCAGTTTTTCCAAACCACATATTCTGAGGAAAGCTACTCTGGTCATCCGTACCCATACGGTATACCGAGGTCGAACGGCATATTCAGTCCCTTGTTAAATGAATGTTCCCTACTTCATGATCTTCGACTAGTTAAGCCGGTGTTTTCACCGGGTCCAGACGGGGTTCCAGGTTGTGTACTCAGGTACTACGCCGAGGCTCTGTGTGGACGTTTGCTTAAACTATTCACCCTGTCCATTGATTCCTCTTGTTTCCCCCCAATCTGGAAGGAATCGTTTATAATTCCTCTCCATAAAAAAGGTAGCAAGTCTGATGCAAAAAATTATAGAGGTATAGCAAAGTTATCCGCTATTCCAAAAATGTTTGAGAAGGTTTTAACTCCGCACTTGCAACATCTCTGCAAGTCACTTATATCTCCAACTCAGCATGGATTTATAAGGCGGCGATCAACCACCATGAACTTGTTAGAGTTTACCTCTTTCATTATTAAAGGCTTTCAAGGTAACTTACAGACGGATGTTATTTACATCGACTTTAGCAAAGCATTCGACTCTGTAAACCATTCCCTTCTAGCACATAAACTTGACCTTTTAGGGTTTCCGCCCAACCTCCTGAGATGGATTTCTAGCTATCTTTGTTCTAGGTCTCAAAGAGTCCTCTTCAAAAACTCCCTCTCTTTACCAGTAAAGGTTTCTTCGGGAGTACCACAGGGCAGCCATCTAGGCCCCTTACTCTTCACACTCTTTATTAATGACTTGCCTTCAGTATTAACATACTCTCGAGTACTTATGTATGCGGATGATGTTAAACTCTGTGTCCAGTACAAGGACATTTCATTTCATTCTCGCTTGCAATCCGATCTCAATAGCTTTCAGTCATGGTGTTGTGCAAAATTGTTACACGTCCACAATTTGGATGTCGTCGTCGCTGTCCGCCACGCGTTCGAGGCGCCGTCGGACTAGGTCCAGTCCGTGGTCGAGCAGTGCCTCCTGCGGATTGGGTTGATGGATGGCGTCTGGGATGCGTGGGCTGCTGTTTGCAGCCCGTGTCTGGCAGCTCTGGTGTGAAGTCGGCCGGTCGCAAATTTGACGCACATGTTGAGGCTGCTGCGCGGATGCTGGCTGCGGTTGCGTTGGTGTCCCTGGACCCCCCTCGTAATCCGGCAGGATTATCTTCTGTATGGATAGTGGCTGGCCGAATATGAGGGCCACTACCCTTTCCCGCGGAGTTTGTCCAGTGAGGTAACGTTTGCGTAGGCAATTTATCATCAATTCGTTGAACCTTTCGGGGTTCGGATTGATGATATTTTGCAGCTGTATGTTCTCAACTGCCTGGCGTCTGATTCCTCCTGTCTCTTTCTTTTCAGCTCCTCCTCTTCGAGACGGACCAGCGTTGGAAGCGATTCCTCGGAGATGGCCGGATCTGGATGTTGTTGTTGATGGCTGCTCCGATCCTGATTTTGAGGCTGCAGCGGGCGGAAGTGTTGGAGCAGCTGTTGCAGATATCGTGGCCTCTGCAATCGCTGTGGCTCATACGGCTGCAGTAATAGTTTCCGAGCCTCCGGATTGACATGGCAGGCCAAGGAGTTGGCGAAGCGCCCACTTGCCGCATGGAACACTTCTTCATTTGTGTCTAGATTGTGAGTCAGCCTTATGGCATCGTTCCTGGTGAACCTTGTCGCCTTCATTGCCCGTCTAATGATTTTATTTTGTAGGCTTTGCACCCGCCGCAGCTGGGAATCGGATGTAAGTGCGCCCCAAACCGGAAGACCATATTGCCAAATGGGCATGATGAGCTGCTTGATGACGATAGCCTTGATTGCGTTAGGCAGCCGGCTTCTGGGTCCAGCAAGCCACTCCAGTTTTTTCGCTCTTGCTCTCAATTTGTTGCATAGTCCAGTTATGTGAGAGTTAAAGGTAAGTTTTCTGTCCAGTTTTATGCCTAAATAGTCATGCTTGTTGACAGATGGAATTACTTGACCATTTATAGCCGGCGGTTGCCTTATGTCCATAGCTCGTAATGTCCTTAGTGTATACATAACGTGTCCGGTTTTTTTTGCGTTGACACTGATGCACCACTTCTTGGCCCAGGTAGAGAAGTGTTGTAGGTATCGCTGGCTATTTTTGACTGCCACAATTGGGATTGCAGATGCGCTCATTATCACCGTGTCGTCGGCATACGTGGACAGCAGCATTGATTCCCGTTCTGGATGGAAGCCAGTGCTGTCAGGGATGAGGTGGGGCATGGGCATGTCCGAGGCATAGATCGTGTATAGTATTGGCCCAAGTACACTACCCTGCGGGACTCCAGCTGATATTTTTCCGATTCTTGACAAATCCTCGTCTCCGCAGCTCACACAAAAAGTGCGTTCAGCCAGGTATCTCTCCAGAATGCAGTACAAATTTAGAGGCAGCAGCTTCATCAACTTGTACAGCAGCCCTTCATGCCATACTCGGTCAAAAGCCTCGGATATGTCCAGAAAAATTGCCGAGCAACTTGTTTTTTCCAGCCAGCTGCTGCTCAGTGCCATGCTCCCGCCGAAATCCAAATTGGTAATTGGGTACGGCCTTGGCAAAATTCTCCACCTCAAACAATCTCGCCATCAGCAATTTTTCAAAGATTTTTGAAAGGCCAGATAATAAACTGATTGGCCGGTAGGAACACATGTCTGCTGTGTTTTTGCCGGCTTTAAAATCATTTTTATCTGGGCATGTTTCCACTGACTTGGAAAGTGGCCCAGTCTGAAAATGGAGTTATATATTAATATTAAATATAGTAGCGCTTTTTTTGGCAAATTTTTAATCAGTTTATTATTGATTTTATCGCCCCCAGGTGGTTTAGATAGCTCCAATGCATCAACAATCTGCATCAGCTCAGGCAGTGTGACTGGCCTGAAGGGAATCCTGATTTCCTGGTCCGGTTGTAGCTGCTTCTGCCGTTTTGACTGCTCCCGCTCTCTGTTGATTGAGGCCCGCTCTTCATCTGAATTGGATAGTATCGGGCTGAATCTCTCCTCCAGGCGAGTAGCAAAGGCATCGGCTGTCTCGGCTGTTGTCTTTGTCCACGAGACACTTGCCTTGCCTCCAGTCATAGTTGGCAGCCTCAGTGGCCAGTTTGGCTGCGGCTGTCTTTTGATTGTGCTGGTCAGTTTCCAAAGTTTCTGCATTCGATAGCGGTCTTTTTTGTCAATCCCTATGAAAAGTTTGTTGATATTATTGTTTTTCAGGATTGTGAGCCCCTTATTAAGACGATTTCGCGCCGCCCTGTAGTTTCGTCTGGCTTCGATGGTGCGGGTCGCCAGCCAGATCCTCTTGCACTGCTGTTTGTTGGAAAGCAGCTCGCTAGTAGCCTCGTCCAGCTTAAGGTGATGGTGCCGGTGTTGTTGCTGTGACCGCTGCTGATGTTGATGCTGTCGCTGCTGTGGCCATCTTCGATGTGAGTTTGGATGCTGCTGTTGTTGCTGTGTTGTTGCTGCTGCTGCTGCTACCCGTATATTGTCCAAAAACAGGTCAACGACGTCATCAATGTCCTGCGCTATTCTAATCTCGGTGTTGAGATTGATCAACCGTTCCAGCGACTTTTGGAACAGGCTGATATTGGCACGTGCTGGGAGCAGATGTTTCCTGACTGTGGGCGTAGGAGGTCTACGTCCACCGCTGCCGATCGTCAACTCCACTCTGAGCAGCAAGTGATCAGAGTCCAAATCCGAGCTTGAACGGATAGTCAGGTGAGTGTCGTGAATTCCTTTGTAGATTCCAAAATCAATCGCTGATGGTCTCTTTTTTTTGTCGTAGGGATAGTGTGTGGCACCACCGGTGGCCAGCAAATTGCAGCCGTTGTTGGTGTGTACAGCCTCCATCAGCGCTTTCCCTCTGGCGCATCCACGGACATTTCCCCACCACATATGCTTCGCGTTCCAGTCACCGCAAACAAGGAAGCCGGATGCAGTTTCTTCGAAGCAGAGTTAGAAGAGTTGCCGTTCTGGCTGACACTGTGGGTGGAAATATTCTGGACTGGATTGACGTTTGGGTTTAAAAGGCTATTCGGGACTGGACTAGACATAGAAAGCGTCATTGGCGGAAGACAGGACCATATCCAAGAGTTTGGTGACGAACTATTTGTTGTTTTGCTTGTTTTATTTGAATTGATATTTATTAATTTGACAATTGCAGAAAATAGATTATCAATTTTGGCCTCAAGTCTTGAGAAAAACTCTGCATTTTCCTTTTGGGCATGGGACTGAAAATTGACGGGGAGAGTTGTTTGCTGTTCTTGTTGCTGGTGGTGGTGCTGCTGCTGCTGCTCATCCCTCAACTTCTGCTGGACCTTGGCCAAATGGTTTTCGGCCGGATTGGCTTGAGCACCTCGGCTATACAAGGGCCTGCGTGTGTTGGGCGTTGCTGCTGCTATTGGTGTTGGTACTGGCGCTGCTTTGGCCCCTTGAGCAACGCTTGCGCGCTGCTGCCGCTGATGCTGCTGCTGCTGCTGTGGCCGCTTCCTTTGCGATGGCTGTTGCTGCTCAACAGTGCGGACATATGGCTGCTGCTCTTGTTGTTCTAGCTATCTTTGTTCTAGGTCTCAAAGAGTCCTCTTCAAAAACTCCCTCTCTTTACCAGTAAAGGTTTCTTCGGGAGTACCACAGGGCAGCCATCTAGGCCCCTTACTCTTCACACTCTTTATTAATGACTTGCCTTCAGTATTAACATACTCTCGAGTACTTATGTATGCGGATGATGTTAAACTCTGTGTCCAGTACAAGGACATTTCATTTCATTCTCGCTTGCAATCCGATCTCAATAGCTTTCAGTCATGGTGTTGTGCAAAATTGTTACACCTTAATGCCTCGAAATGCAAAGTAATGACATTTCATCGTTCTAGCCCCTTGTTGGCTACCTACACCCTATTTGGTGGTTCTCTTGAGAGAATTACCCTGGTGGATGATCTGGGTGTTATGTTAGACCCCAAGTTAAAGTTTTCCGAACACATTTCTACCATGGTAAATAAGGCCATGGGCGTGCTTGGGTTTATAAAGAGGTGGTCAAAGAAATTTGACGACCCCTATATAACAAAGACTCTCTATACTACGCTAGTTTGTCCGATTTTAGAATACGGCTCCTGTGTATGGTGCCCTCAGTACAAAGTACACCAGGACCGTATAGAATCAGTACAGAACAACTTTTTACTCTTTGCTCTGCGGGGCCTTAACTGGGATGCGGGTGTAAGACTCCCATCTTACTCTAGTAGACTACTATTAGTAAACCTCCCATCCTTAGTTAACCGTAGAAAAATGCTTGGTGTGATATTTGTGCACAACTTGATCAGGGGTGACATAGACAGCCCTGATCTGTTGAGCCGCATAAACTTCACGATTCCTATTAGACTTGCTAGAAATTTTATACCGTTGTTCCTTCCACTTTGTAGATCGAATTATTCTTTGCATGAACCATTTAGGGTCTTATGCTCGGATTATAATTCCCTCTACCATATTATATCCACCACTTATTCTCTCCCTCTTATTAAATTACTAATCCTTACACACCTTTCTAGTAATTAGTAATTGTAGTGGTATTTGTATTTTGATTGCATGCTTAGTTTCTTAGTAAGTTTAGTACTAATTTTCCTCGAATCTTAGTCTAATAGCTATCTTTCTTGCATGCTCGTGTTCGGTTCGGCTACGCACCGCGCGTCATGCGGCAGCGCCCCTCGGTCGGTTGGGCGGGAGGAGGGCTGCGTTTTGCCTGGGATCCGCGCGTAACAGCCTTCTGCTGGTGTCACACGGGCCACTTGACGGTGCAGTAACTGCATCGCCCCTTTTAAGATGCAGTCAACGTCCAAGTAATGGGAAAAACGTTGTAGGACCCACAGTGAGGACTAGGAAAATTCGGACTCAACACATAAATTTGCTTATAATTAATAGTGATAATATGCAAATGATGCATTATGCATATATAACGTGCATGAGGAAATTATGTTATTGGCAACATAGTAGATCCCATAGTGCTGCATAATTTTACGAGAACTGTTTGCAATTTTATAGTACAACAAATACGTTTCATGACACTGAAGAGTGTGTAAAAGTATCCTGAACCTAATACCAAAACTGTCTTCAAAAGTTTTTCTTAAAAACTATCTCCACCAGTAGTAATTTATGCTGACATCGAAGCAGTTTTGGAAAATTACCATATAAATCTTAATGAACCATCAAAATCATCAACTACTATACAGGTACAGAGGCATACAGAATGTGCAGCATTTTATATTTTACATAAATACAATGCTCACCTTAATGAGATGTGGTAAATATTTTCACAATCCAGCAAAGGTAATAAACTCATAAACATTATGATTTTGTTATTTCAGGACCGGATTGTTTCCAAAAATTTTGTCGATGGACTTTATGAGATGTACTGGAAGTCCTATAAAAAACCAATCTACCAGTTTAACATTTGGGATGAGGATTACCAGGAACATGGCGTTTGCTATGCCTGCGGGAAACAAATTTCTGATGATGATCGAGAAAAATTCTTTGATCAGTTTACAGGTCAATATGTAGGTCCTATTCATAAGTTGGGTAAACAGAAATTTAGATTAAGCGATCCCTTTTTCCCTGTAGTTTTTCATAACTTGTCTCGTTATGATATACATTTATTTGTTACATCAATAAAAGGTGAACTAAGATCCATTCCTTGCAATAAAGAGTTATATATTGCGTTAACTCAAATTTGTAAGCTAGATGAATCTTATCTTCATCAATATAAAATCAGATATATAGATTCAAATATATTTTAAAATTCAAGCTTAGAAAAACTCGCTGGTTATATGGACATAGGGAATTTTATTTTAATTTTGAAAACTAAATATCAAGGTGAAAAATTTGATATGCTACGACGAAAGGGAGTATTTCCCTATGATTATTTGGATAGTTTTAAAAAATTTGATGAATCCCTGCTTCCTTCGCGAGAATATTTTTATAATTCCCTAAATGATGAGGAATGCAGTGTTGAAGACT